TCATCATTATTATCAATGGTATATACACGCGGATAATTTTATGGTAGTATTTCTATCGGCAATTGAAATTTTTATTCCTGTATAATTATAGTGTTGATTAAAGTAAAAAAAAATATTGCAAAATGTCAACTGTTGCTAGTCCTTTAGTTGTTGGTGGTGTTCGACAATCCGGGGCTCCTGTAAGAACACAAAATGGTATGTTAGTTATTCATTTTGTATAAGAATTTGGTTATATTTTATGTAATTTTTATATGAAATACAGATTTTTTATTTTATATAATAATTTTATTTTTATTAAAATTTTTAACTATATGAAATTATTATAAAATAATTTATATTTATAATTTTTTACTTTTTTATGCAATGTAAGTAATATTAATATTAATATTGATAATTATTTATAACACATTAAAATAATATTTAAATTATTTTTTTTAATAGAATTTCAATATTTATGAATTATTTTTTTAAAAAAACTTAATAAAATTCAAATATAAATTTCAATATGACTTTATAATATATATTTTATTGAATTTATATATTGAAATATATAAATTTTTCATATTCAGTATAGTTATTTTATTTTTTTATTTATTTTTTTGTTTTCTAGTCATGGCTGCTTGTGCAATTGCTAATATAGTAAAGAGTTCTTTGGGTCCTGTTGGTTTGGATAAAATGCTCGTAGATGATATTGGTGTATGTAAACATTTTTGTAAAATATATCTATATAAAAATTAATTAAAATATTTTTTAAATTTGTATTTTATATGTTTGAATTAATATTATAGGATGTTACTGTTACAAATGATGGAGCAACTATTTTACGTTTATTAGAAGTTGAACATCCAGCTGCAAGAGTTTTAGTAGAACTAGCACAACTACAAGATGAAGAAGTTGGAGATGGAACTACTTCAGTTGTAAGTTTATTTAATTTATTGTATTTAAATATATTATTTTTAAATAAGATAATAAATTATTTAAACAGGTAATAGTGGCAGCTGAATTATTAAAAAATGCTGATGAACTTGTAAAACAAAAAATTCATCCAACATCTGTAATTAGTGGTTACAGGCTTGCTTGCAAGTAAATAATTATCAATTTATTTTTAAAATTTATTAAAGATAAAGAAATAAATATTCTTAAATAATAAAATAAAATAAAAATATTTTATATATTTACATTTTATATAATAGTAAAAATATTATATCACTTATATTTTAGAGAAGCTTGTAAATATATTCAAGAACATTTAACAGTTGGTGTAGATGAGCTTGGAAGAGATTGTTTAGTTAATGTAGCAAAAACTTCAATGTCCAGTAAAATCATTGGAGCGTATCCTTTTTTTATTCTATCATATAAAAAAATTAAATATGTGCATTTTATTTACTACTATTTTATACTATTATTATCATCATCACTTCCTTAATAAATTCATTTAGTGATGCTGATTTCTTTGGAAATATGGTCGTAGATGCTGCAAATGCAGTAAAAGTTAGTGATGGAAAAGGAGGATTTATATATCCTGTGAAAGCAGTTAATGTTTTAAAAGCTCATGGAAAGAGTGTTAGAGAATCTATATTAGTGCAGGGTTATGCATTGAATTGTACTGTAGCTTCTCAAGCAATGTCTAAAAGAATAATGAACGCAAAAATTGCATGTTTAGATTTCTCTTTACAAAAAACAAAAATGAAATTAGGTGTTGAAGTACTAATCACAGATCCTGAAAAACTAGAAGCAGTACGCCAACGTGAAGCAGATATTACAAAAGAACGTATACAAAAAATTCTCTCAGCAGGTACAAATGTTGTTCTTGTATCTGGAGGAATTGATGATCTTTGTTTAAAGGTATACTAAATATTATTATACATACGATATATATATTATTATTTTTTCTTATTTTAAAAAGATAACAAAATTATATATAAATTTTTATTTTGTTTAGTATTTTATAGAAGCTAAAGCAATGGCAGTTCGTAGATGTAAAAAAGCAGATTTGAAAAGAATTGCAAAAGCTACAGGTGCACAATTTCTTACTTCTTTAACTAATATGGAAGGAGAGGAAAGTTTTGATTCAAGTTTTCTTGGAGAAGCTGCTGAAGTAGTACAAGAAATGATATGTGATGATGAGCTCATTCTTATTAAAGGGTTTGTTTTTTAAGATTATTTATTATTTGATACAGATGATATAATTAAAATTGAAATTAAATTTATATTTTTATAACAGACCAAAAGCAAGAACAGCAAGTTCCATGATATTAAGAGGACCAAATGATTATTACTGTGATGAAATGGAACGATCTGTGCATGATGCATTATGTGCAGTAAAACGAGTTTTAGAGAGTAAAAGTGTGGTTGCAGGAGGTGGTTGTGTTGAAGCAGCACTTTCAATTTATTTAGAAAATTTTGCTACATCACTTGTAAGTTTTCTTATAATGTTGTAAATTATTAAATTATTTTTGTATTAAAATATTTTATATTTTATATTTTATAGAGTTCTCGAGAACAATTAGCTATTGCTGAATTTGCAAGATCATTATTGATTATACCAAAAACATTAGCTGTTAATGCGGCACAAGACGCTACAGATCTTGTTGCTAAATTACGTGCTTATCATAATTCCAGTCAAACGAAAGCAGATCTTGCAGATTTAAAATGGTAATATTTTTTAATAAGAAATTAAAATTTCTTTCATATAGGAAATATAATATTATATTAATTATATTATAATATTTTGTAGGGTTGGTCTGGATTTACTCGAAGGTACTATTAAAGATAATAAAAAGGCTGGTGTATTGGAACCAGCTATTTCAAAAATAAAATCTCTGAAATTTGCTACGGAAGCAGCAATAACAATTCTTAGAATTGATGATATGATTAAATTAGATCCAGAACGATCAAAGGATAAATCATATCGCGATGCAATGGAATCTGGTGAATTGGAAGAATAATATTAAAATATATTATTTATCCTTTTTTCTTATAATTTGTTATACTGGTAAAATTAAATTATAATTTACTATTTTACAATTTAGCGATAAAAAAAATCACTAACATTTATGTTAATATGTTCTCATGAATGAATTTGCTAATAATAAATAAAATAAAGCTTTTACATAGAAAAATGTTGTGTATGTATTTTAGAATTTATTCCAAAAAATTATATAGTATATATTAATATGAAAAAGATTATATACAAAATTATTTTATTATATATGTGAAATTTATCACATTAACGCGGTTTATTACGGAACATTTTAGAAAAAATAAGAACTTAAAAAATATTAAATATAATATATTATTTATTATTCAAAATGTAGTTTTTAAAAACGAAATATAATGATATTGGAAAAAGATTTTAATTTAAAATAATAATTTTATAAATATATTATAAATAATATATTGAATACATCTATTATGTGAAAAATATTTAATTATATATTTAATTATATTTAAAATTATATTAATATAAAATTTAGTATTTTAATATAATTATTTATCAGACATATATATTTATAT